GAATAGAATAGAATAGAATAGAATAGAATAGAATAGAATAGAATAGAATAGAATACCTTATCGGCCAAGTGTGATTGGACACACAAGGAATTAGTCTTGGTGCAAATGCTCTCACTGTACATAAAAGAAAAGATTCATTCATCAAGAGTCAAGAACCATAAGGTACAACACCTAATTATAGTCAGAGAGTATAATGGTTTTTAAGAAACCATTGGACAACCATTTGTCTGAAATGGTATAAGATTTCCTGCTTGAGCGGGAGGTTGGACTAGAAAACCTCCATGGTCTCTTATTCTGCCATGCTCAAAATCCCTTCACTGGGATGGCTGAACACAAGGTGGGGGGCATTGCTGATGAAACGTGTCCTAATTCATGCTCAAGATGAGTACCCTCTATGTACTGAGCATTCCCAGCTGCTTGAATGAAGGCTTCAACAGATAAGGAGCATGACTGCGAGAATAAGATGTTCAACCTCATGCCAAGTACCAGGATTAGGCTGGGACAATGGATAGTGATATCTTGTGGGAGGGTTTTTTTTGCTAACTCAGTGGTCTTCCTGTTCTATTAAGGGATTGAAAGTTTTCTCTGGCATCTGCATATTGCCGCAAACTCACTTGATCAGAGATGGCCATTGAGATAAAGTAACATTTAGAGTAATATGAAGCCTCTACTCATCTATGGATGACATGACTCCTTGGCTCTCTATCTCTACAGCCTCTCTACATCCTGCTTTGAGGGTAGAGTAATAACCAGTTTCATCTTAATTCTGATTTTCTTTCTTGAGAACGTAATACACTTTCTCTCATCGTATTAAAGTTCAGAATCATCTATAGGTGTTGATGTGAATCCAAAGAAAAACTGGCCTCTGAAATTAATGTAGGCCTTCTCATGAGCGAGGGCATTCCCAGAGAAACCTCAAATGTCTACACAAGGCTGGGCAGCTTCTGGAGATATCACCAAGTCTCCAAAAATGAAACCTCTGGTTTAAACACTACATCCCACAAATCAGTGGTGGGTTTCACATTTTTTTCACCATCTGTTTCTCTGGGCGTCGCTTGGTGGGCGTACTTTGCACATGCTTGCCAAACATGTGCTTTGCGTGCGTGCAGAGGGTTTACTACTAACCTTTTCCTGTTCACCCTGTGTCTTCAACAGCTGACATGCAGCAATCCACTTTGACGCGCGAAGCAGCTGAGCTTCAAAACCAGTAAATAACGGTCAGCATAGGCAGGTGAGTAGGCCCAGCAGCTGATCGTTGGAGTGAACCAGTTTGCTCACAGATGATCCTCGGAGCTACCGGATCGGTTGACCCAGGCTGAACCAGTAGAATACCACCACTGCCACAAATGCTCTTTGTTTCACTGGCAGATACATGCTGGCCAGGGAAAATAAAAGTTTTAAAGTAGCTTTCAGCTCTTCCCAAGTCCTGTGAGCAACCTTCAAGTGATTCTTGGAACTTACAAAGACAGCTCTGAACCTTGTTTGCGTTAAATCTAAGATTGAAGTAAGAATCAGGCTGCGTTATTCACCGTGGCGGTATTATATCCCTCGACATGCGTCTCCTTTGAGCTTTCATGCCTGCGTTAGCACATTTTAATGAGGATATCTAAGAGGTTAAGAAAAACCCCTCTCCCAAAGTTCTCACTCCTCAACTTAATATATTTTTATCAGATTACTGCAAGGAAGAAATTTCAAAGCTCTCCTTGAGATGCAAACACAAATATTTGGGGGTCTTGATTTAGATTTAGGTTTAGGCATTTGGGGGTTCACCAAATATTAGTGGTGCCTGCTGATTGCCAGCAAATCATACTTTATGTTGGAGCTGCAGAAAGTCCTCAACTTATGACCACACAAGTAGACTGCTCATTTAAGGGTCATTCAGTTCTTTTCTGAATGGAGAATATGTCTTCCTTCATCCCTTTAGATCACTAATTATAGAATAGTGTTTGGGCAAAGCTGGTTGTCTGACTCATGGCCACTCAGGACAAGAGCCGATGATTTCATGTGAATCACAACTGCATCACACTCATGATACAGATTCTGGAATGTGCCTCACTTGTACATTGAGGTCATTAAGGCATGCCCATGGGGCAAGGTAAAAAACAAGTCTCTGGAGCTACTAAACAAACTCAACCTAAAATAGATATGGTGATAAATAATTTCATCTGAAGCTCCTAGCCAAAGGTGGGCGACAGAGAAAATCTCTGGCAGGATGGTAGCTTACGGAGAAGGGTTTCAACCTTTTCCTTCTAACCACCATCTTGCTAAAAAAAAACAACTTCCCTTCCCAAGCTGCTGTTGATCTCATAGAAGAAGCTTTTGACAAAAGCCAAATGGGTGCCTGCTAAATGAGAACACCATGATACAAAGTTGTTTACAAAATAAAAGTGCACATCAAGAAGCATTGGACCGATCCAGCCTAGAACTAAGAAGAAATTTCCCAACAGTGAAAACAATTAATCAGTGGAACAGCTTGCCTCCGGAAATGCTGGTTGTTTTATCACTGGAGGCTTTTAAGAAGAGATTGGGCAGCCATTAGTCCAGAATAGTATATAGGGTGTCTTGCTCGAGCAGGGGATAGGCTCAGGGTGGGATTCTACCGGTTCTACCAATAGCTCTGAGGATCATCTGTGAGCAAACCGGTTAGCTCCAACGATCAGCTGCTGGGCTCGCCCGCCCGCTTACCACAGCTCTAATCTAACCTTTATTTCCTGGTTTTCAAGTTCAGCTGCTTCGTGCGGCACAGTGGATTGCCACACATCAGCTGTTGAACACGGAGGGAGACTGCAGGATTTCAGAAGGTCAGTAGCAAACCCTCTACATGCAGCGAAGTGCACAAAGCACGCACTCACCAAACTGGTTGTTACACTGGTTGAATCACACCCCTGGATAGACTAGAGGACCTCCAAGAATACCAACAATTCATCCCCTCTTCACGAGGATTGCCAAACCCACGACCGACCTCCTAAAGGCAGGGAGTCCAACTCTGTAATTCTGTATCAGCTTGAAATTTTCATACATAAAGAAACACTAGTACAAACAGTGTGATTTTTCTTCCCAGAAAAGACACTTCAAATCAAGGCTGTTCTGAATGCCATAAATAAATATTTGTGCTGCTCTTGGTTCCTTTAATCCAGGGGTCTTCAAACTTGACAGCTTTAAGACTTGTGGACTTCAACTCCCAGAATTCCTCCTCCAGTCATGATAGCTCAGGAATTCTGGGAGTTCAAGTCCACAAGTCTTAAAACTTGTCATGTTTGAAGACCCTTGCTTTAATAAACCATGCTTTTAAATATCTAGATTTCTAGAGATAGATAGATAGATAGATAGATAGATAGATAGATAGATAGATAGATAGATAGAGTGTGTGTGTGTGTGTGTGTGTGTGTGTGAGAGAGAGAGAGAGAGAGAGAGAGAGAGAGAGAGAGAGAGAGAGAG